GGATGTAAATTTTAAAAAATAAAAAATAAAATAAAATAAATTAATTAATTGGAATGCTTGGGTGGTTCAGTCCGTTAAGCATCGGACTCTTGATTTCCACTCAGGTCATGATCTCACGGTTCATGAGATGGAGATGTGCTGTCAGCACAGAGCCTGTTTGGGAGTCTCTCTCTTCCTCTCTCTCCCCCTTCCCCATTCACTCACACTCCCTTTCTCTCTCTCTCTCTCTCTCAAAATAAACTTTAAAAAATTAAATCAAAATTTAAAATTTATCATGCAATATTTAAGACCAACCAAAAGCTATAAAGAACAACACAGGGGGGTGCCTGGGTGGCTCAGTCGGTTGAGTGTCCGGCTTTGGCTCAGGTCCTGATCTCACAGCTTGTGAGTTCGAGCCCCCGCATCGGGCTCTGTGCTGACAGCTCAGAGCCTGGAGCCTGCTTCTGCCTCTGTGTCTCCCTCTCTCTCTGCCTCTAACCCACTCGCATTCTGTCTCTGTCTCTCTCAAAAATAAATAAACATTAAGAAAACTTTTTAATGGAACAACGCAAGGGCACCTGGCTGGCTCAGTCAGTAGAGCATACCATTCTTGATCTTGGAGTCATGAGTTCGAGCCCCATGTTGGGCTTAGACCCTACTTTAAAAGGAGGGGGGGAATCATGCAAATACCTTCGTCTTTATCATCTAGCCTCTGAAAGAAAGCATTGCCCAGTCAAAGGCCCCAGATACTCCTCTCCAAACCATAGCTTCCCTTCCTCCTCCCCAGAAGTAAGGACCACTATCCTGACTCTATTGCCCTCCCCACCTCCATACTTTTATCACATCTATTAGGCATCCCTAAGCATAATCCCTAGTGTCTGTTTGCAAGTAGTACACCCCTTATTTAATTCCTTCTTCCTTCCGATCCAATCGAGAAATATCTCTATTTGCAGATTAGAACTTGCCCAAGGCATCCAGGTAATGGTGATGGAATCAAAGCTCAAGAGTGAGTCCCAAGCTAGTGCTTCTAACCATCACTCCCCCAATATTCCTGTGGCCACAGTCTTACTAGACACGGACTCCCTTTCCACACTAGATTGTCAACTGCCAGTGAGAAGAGACTAAATGTTTCTCCCTTCCCATACAACCCCTAATATCCTGCACCCTGTAATAGGAGCACGATATTGTATTTCTTTAAAGAGACACTGTCTTCCATCACCCCTAGCAGTCCCAGTAGGGGAAACTGCCAGAAATTCACTTCAAGGGAGGGATGGGTGGGGTTTTGCAAGATTTCGTTAGAAGTTTGGAGCAACTTTTGAGCGTTCAAGTGTCAACTTTACTGGAAAGGATGAGGCATACAACATTCATGCTCCAAGAGATTGGGAGTTTGTGTGTGTGCTTGGGTAGGGGTGGGGAGGAAAGAGGAACTCAAAACATCGGCCCCCAAAACCGAAAAATACTTCCTTTCCCACAGCCACAGTGGGGCTGAGCTAGGGCTTGGGGTCTAGTCCAAGCTTAAGGGCAGACAATGAAAAGTATCGTGACCCCGGACCCTCAAGCAACCTGACAAGACATCTGGCCAGCGTCCAAAGGGTGTTTGCGTGCACCGAGAGGAGGGAGCAAGTTGACCCAGGGGGAGAGAATATTAGAGGCGCTTGCTGATGCTTATCCAGAAAAAGAAACCAACATTTACTAATACTTAATATGCAAATGAACAGCAGTACACGCTCCGAAACGTGCTTGCTGCCTATCAGGGTGTATTCAGGCCACGTGCACTAAGTGGATTCATAGGTTGTACCATCCAGTTCACACTAAACTCTGACAGGGGCGCCTGGCTGGCTCGTTGGTAGAGCCTGTGACTCGAGGTCTTGTGAGTTCGAGCCCCACGCTGGGGGTAGAGTTTACCTGAAAAACAAAAAAAGAAAAAGAGGAAAGAAACTCACAAAAAGAGCGAGGGGCTTGAGCAGATTCCTGCAAAGAAATCATAGACTAAAAATACTAATCCCAGAACAAGCAGGAAAATGGCAGAGCTAACTTTTCATCTACTCCCATTATAAGCTCTGTGTGAAGCACATCGGAGGGGAAAACCCGGTCTGCTTAAGTCAAAAACATTTCCACCCACCCGCTATTAATGACTCAAGCCCACACGAAAGGTGAAGGGACCTTGAATCGGGAACTGAGAGCAATACAGGTATGTAGGTTTTCGGGAAGCTGAACACATGTCAGGTATGCGTGCTCAGAATGTTTGGCTGGTGGGAACGACGGCTGAAAAAGAAGCTTCCACGATCAGTTTAGCAATAGAGCGGTTTGCTCTCTCTAGGTCAGCCCTGTCCAATAGAACTTTCTGCAGCGATGAAAATGTTCTGTAATTCCACCGCCACTAGTCAGGAGGAGCTATCCCAGGAAATGTGACTGACACCAACCGACTAGGCCGTAGAGTGTGTTGAGGGCTCTGGAACTTGCATCAGAAATAGAGGTCGGACCCCTCAGGCCGAATTTGCCCACCGAAGGCTGCCCCCCACCAAGCCTTTGGCCGCATATTTATTTCAGAAAGGCTACTAGCCCACGTGTCCTGTTGAAGGAAACCCAATTTAGGCTTCACGCTCTCTTTCCTCCCAGGAGATTGAGGCACCCGCCAGGAATTCAAGAAATGAGCCTCCCCTCAGCACGGACAACACTTCAAAAGCCACAAGTTAAGACAAAGGTTTTTATTCAAAAAACGCCAAGTATAAAAAAAAAAAATAATAATAATAAGATCTCTTTTATTCCCCTGTACAGTATTTCACTCAGATAAAACCAGCAGGCTACATACTGCTCAAAACACAGCCCCAGAGAGGATCCGGAAGGCACACCATCCAGAACTGCTTTTCATATATCTATCCTATGTACACCAGTCAGCAATGCCCCTTCCCCC